ATAATACTAAGAGACGACTAGTAGTTAACAATGTTAACTTTAAAATTAAGTGAAATGACTAATGTAAAAAAAATTGGTAAAGATGCAACTAGGGACGGCAGACCTTGGTCGTTGACTGGGCTTTAACTAGAAAAATTAATTAAATTTGCTTTATGACTTAGATTACATAATTTTGTAGTCCTAAAGCCCCTTATTATGTGATGATACATTTAGTTATGTTTGTTTGTAAATTTTGCTAATTAATGATTGTTTTAAATTTCATAAGAATTAAAGTTTCATGTTAATTTAACGTGCATGGGCATTAGTAGGCGAAATTTTCAAACTAGATTTTCAAAATTGTATGATAATAATTTACCTATTGATGCTAGGTAAATTGTTGTACATGATAATACTCTGTAGGCCCGTTTTGATGCTAGGTGAATATGCAATATATAGGTAAATTACTCAAAAAACAAATTGTACAATTACAGTCTTGCAGATTACGAGAAGTTCAAAATGCATAGATTATGGTTATTGAACACGCAATACAATATTTAAAACACACAAAGAAAATAATTAGCTTTTATTGTCTAGATTGTGTAGGTTATCTAATGGCGTAAGAACAAATTTGATAATAGGTGTTACTGGTATAAGTTGTAAATAATTTGTAATAATAAGGTCACTTATTTGTCTACGTGACAACTTATGTAATAAGAGGTCACCTGTTGATGTGTTTCTTCTAATTAGTTAATTCTTGCAAATAGTAAGTCACTGCAAGTCTGCACTGCCATTTATATTTTCTTACGAATTGTGTTTTCAGGCATGAAGCAAAGCTTATTAAGAAAATTATTTATGAGAATCTTTGGAAATGGCTCCCCAGAACAAAAAAATTACATGTGGCCAAGTTCCCAGTTGGAATCAATTCTCGTGTTCAAGAAATTATCACTTATCTTTCAAGTGGTGAAGGAAATAAGATTCTCATGGTTGGAATTTGGGGGATGGGTGGATTGGGTAAAACAACAGTTGCCAAAGCCATTTATAACCAAATTCATCATGAGTTTGAATTCAAAAGTTTCCTTGCCGACGTTAGCGACACTACAAGTAAACATGGCCTGGTTCATTTGCAAAAAAAACTTAGTTTTGACATCATGGATCAAGAGATTACAATAAGCACTGTTGATGAAGGTATATGTCGGATAGAAGAGCAATTTTCACATAGAAAGGTACTTGTCATCATGGACAACATAGATGGAGTGGAACAACTCAATGCAATAGCTGGAAATCGCAAGTGGTTTGGTCCAGGAAGTAGAATTATCATAACGACACGAGATAAACATCTACTAATAAAAAGTGGACAAAGTATATCAGGCTCAAATATTGACTAAAGGAGAAGCTCTAGAACTGTTTAGTTGGCATGCATTTGGAAATAGTTACCCTAATGAAGAATATCTTGAAGTCTCAAAAAAGGTTGTTTCTTATTGTGGAGGTTTGCCACTAGCCCTTGAAGTTTTAGGTTCTTTTTTGTGTGAAAGACCCCAAAAAGTGTGGAATAGTCAATTGGAGAAATTGGAAAGAACTCCTGATGGAAAAATAATAAAACCACTAAGAATGAGCTTTGACGGGCTAGATGATACGGAGAAGGCTACATTTCTTAACATATCTTGTTTCTTTATTGGAGAGGACGAGGACCGTGTTGCAAAATTGTTAGATGTGTGTGGATTTTCTGCAACAGTAGGAATCAACGTCCTCTGTGAACGATGCCTTGTAACTGTTGAAGGCAACAAGTTGAATATGCATGATTTGCTTCGAGAAATGGCTAGAATAATCATTTCTGATAAATCTATTGGTGACCCTGGAAAATGGAGTAGGTTGTGGAGTCGTGAAGATGTCACCAATGTATTGACATATCAATCTGTAAGTACATTCCCAATTTAATTTTGGATTAATGCATCATACAAGAAAATCATATATGTAACCCGCATATGTGTATCATATAGTACTTGCATATATGTACGTGATTTTGCCTAATAAATAATAATACATGTAAACATATGCAATCCCTTTCTTACGCAGTATAACCCTTTGTTAACAGGGAACTGAAGAAGTTGAAGGACTTGCTCTACATTTGCCTTATGGTTATGACAATGCTAGTTTCAGTACAGAAGCATTTGCCAATATGAAGAAACTGAGACTGCTTCATCTAAAAAATGTACGGCTCAATGGAGAATACAAACATCTTCCCAAAGAGTTAATATGGTTTCGCTGGAAACTATGCCCTTTAAAGTCCATACGAGATGACTTTTTTAATCAACCAAGACTAGTTGTTTTAGAGATGCAGTGGAGCAAACTGGTACAAGTTTGGGAGGGTTCCAAGGTACAATGAATTACACCTGATGATGTTGTGTTTCTATTTGTTTTTTGGATTTCTTCTCTTTTTTTATAACATCTTCATTTCAGATATTAATTTCAATTTTCTTTTGATTTTCTGCAACAGTCTTTACATAACTTGAAAACCCTTGATCTCAGCTATTCTCGTTCCTTACAGAAATCACCGGACTTTTCACAAGTCCCAAATCTTGAAGAGTTGATATTGGAAGGGTGTGAGAGTTTGACGGAGATTCACCCCTCCATTGGTCATCTTAAAAGACTTTCTTTGGTGAACCTTTCAGGATGTCATTATAAGCTTATTTCTCTTCCAAGGGATTTCTATAAATTGAAATCTATTGAGACTCTTCTTCTTAATTACTGTCGAAAATTCAGAGAATTGCATGAGGATATAGGGGAGATGATATCACTGAGAACACTAGAAGCAAAGCAAACAGACATAAGAGAAGTACCACCTTCCATAGTAAGATTGAAGAATCTCACTCGTTTATCCCTTGACCGCATCAGCGTAGAGCTCAAAGGAGAATACAAACATCTTCCCAAAGAGTTAATACGGTTGCGTTGGGACCTATGCCCCTTAAAGTCCATACCAGATGACTTTTTTAATCAAGATAAACTAGTTGTTTTAGAGATGCAGTGGAGCGAACTGGTACAAGTTTGGGAGGGTTCCAAGGTACAATAAATTACACCTGATGATGTTGTGTTTCTATTTGTTTTTTGGATTTCTTCTTTTTTTTTTTAATAACATCTTCATTTCGGATATTAATTTCAATTTTCTTTTGATTTTCTGCAACAGTCGCTTCATAACTTGAAAACCCTTGATCTTAGCTATTCCCGTTCCTTACAGAAATCACCGGACTTTTCACAAGTCCCAAATCTTGAAGAGTTGATATTGGAAGGGTGTGAGAGTTTGACCGAGATTCACCCCTCCATTGGTCATCTTAAAAGACTTTCTTTGGTGAACCTTAGAGACTGTCATAAGCTTATTTCTCTTCCAAGGGATTTCTATAAATTGAAATCTGTTGAGACTCTTCTTCTTAATATGTGTTCAAAATTCATAGAACTGCATGAGGATATAGGGGAGATGATATCACTGAGAACACTTGAAGCTGAGCGAACAGCCATAAGAGAAGTACCACCTTCCATTGGTCATCTTAAAAGACTTTCTTTGGTGAACCTTAGACACTGTCATAAGCTTATTTCTCTTCCAAGGGATTTCTATAAATTGAAATCTGTTGAGACTCTTCTTCTTAATTACTGTCAACAATTAAGAGAACTGCATGAGGATATAGGGGAGATGATATCACTGAGAACACTTGAAGCAAAGCAAACAGACATAAGAGAAGTACCACCTTCCATAGTAAGATTGAAGAATCTCACTCGTTTATCCCTTGACCGCATCAGCATAGAGCTCAAGGGAGAATACAAACATCTTCCCAAAGAGTTAATACGGTTGCGTTGGGAAGACTGCCCTTTAAAGTCCATACCAGATGACTTTTTTAATCAAGATAAACTAGTTGTTTTAGAGATGCAGTGGAGCAATCTGGTACAAGTTTGGGAGGGTTCCAAGGTACAATGAATTACACCTGATGATGTTTTGTTTCTATTTGTTTTTTGGATTTCTTCTCTTTTCTTTATAGCATCTTCATTTCGGATATTAATTTCAATTTTCTTTTGATTTTCTGCAACAGTCCCTACAAAACTTGAAAACCCTTGATCTCAGCTATTCCCTTTCCTTACAGAAATCACCGGACTTTTCACAAGCCCCAAATCTTGAAGATTTGATATTGGAAGGCTGTTGGAGTTTGTTCGAGATTCACCCCTCCATTGGTCATCTTAAAAGACTTTCTTTGGTGAACCTTAGAAGGTGTGACAATCTTTGTTCTCTTCCAAGGGATTTCTATAAGTCAAAATCTGTTGAGAATCTTCTTCTTAATAGGTGTTCGAAATTCAGAGAAGTGCATGAGGATATAGGGGAGATGATATCACTGAGAACACTTGAAGCAGAGCAAACAAATATAAGAGAAGTACCACCTTCCATAGTAAGATTGAAGAATCTCACTCGTTTATCCCTATCAGATGTGGAAAGTATTCATTTGCCACATTCGTTACACGGCTTAAACTCTTTAAGGGAATTACATCTCTCACGTTGCCGATTAGCTGATGATGAAATCCCTAAGGATCTTGGGAGTCTAATTTCTTTACAAGTTTTGGATCTTTCAGGGAATGATTTTTATACTCTACCCAGTCTCAGTGGTCTTTCAAAGCTTGAAACTCTGCAGTTAGATAAATGCTTTAACCTTCGTACAATCCCTGATATACCACCAGATATGAAAGTTCAGCATGTGATTCTCCCGGACTCACTGAGGCTCCAGGCTTGGATAAGTTATTAAATTTAAACCCCATGACATGGATTGATGTGAGAAGGTTGACCAATCTCATAGCTGATTTTGGCAAGAACATCATACAGGTATCTCTCTCCCCCCTCCCCCTCTCTCCCTTAAGTTCTAATTGCCTTCCTATTGTGCGCATGAAGATTCCTATGGTTTTTCCAAAACGTAGTTGTTTTGAATTTTGAAGATATATTGTATTCAGAAACATTTCAATATTACAAGAACCGATATAAGATGCATCCGATGATTCGAGAAATAGCACTCGAATTCGCACAAATACAAATGCACCAACGTTTTCTTGTCAAATGCACGTTTTCATTTTATGAGTGCAGCCATACTTAATATTCAACACTGGACATTACATTCAATAAGGCGATACCTCCACTCACTCTGAGATGCAAAGGCATCTGTTTCTTCTTCCTTAGGGTTTTCGTCTGCAAGACCAGCTTTGATTGGGGAAGCGTCACTTTAATAGTCCGTAATAATTCTCTTCTCACTTTCTTCACTCACGACATTTTTGGTCTGCATAAAGAACGTTACTACGTTTAGCTTCGTAAAGTTATATTTGTAAGGTGAAGAAAAAAAAAGCAGAAATTTTCTAAAACGATTTTGAGACAAGGAAGACTTACAACTGATTTAGTTACCTTAGGATTTTTGGCTGGATTTTCCCTCTTTTAAGTGATTTCTTTTCCGCTCAGTTGAGTTACATGCTACATTTCTGAGATGAGCGTTTTGAGATTGTGATTGTCACAGTAATTGGTTGCCGAGATATTGACTTGAAACAGTCTTCTCACCTTCCTCAAACTGTATCTTCAGAGCGGCCTGCAAAGGTCTGGAGGGGTAATCTTCAATTCCCATGAGATTGGCAAATCAGACTCGGCCCTTTCCCCGCCTTTTGCGAAGCAGCTGTTGTTGCTGCAATGGTGGAGTCACTGGTGGCCTGAAACATTGAACTCTGGGTTGAGCTGGTGGAGGGAGTATCCAAGCACGAATCCATATATCGAAAATAGTTTCCCCTTTTTGACAGATTCTGTATTTTCCACCCAG